TTCTAGGTTCACGTCATTCTCCTGCCTCAACTTCCCAAGTAGCTGGGACTACAGGCGCCCACCACCACGCCCAGCTAATTTTTTGTAATTTTAGTAGAGACAGGGTTTCACCGTGTTAGGCAGGATGGTCTCCATCTCCTGACCTCGTGATCCGTCTGCCTCGGCCTCCCAAAGTGCTGGGATTACAGGCTTGAGTCACTGCACCAGACATAGTACACTTGTTTTGTTTTTGTCTGTTTGTTGAGAGGGAGTTTTTGCTCTTGTTGCCCAGGCTGAATGCAGTGTCATGATTGTGGCTCACTGCAACCTCTGCCTCCTGGATTCAAGCAATTCTCCTGCCTTAAGACTCCCAAGTAGCTGGAATTACAGGTGTCTGCCACCATGCCTGTATAATTTTTTGTATTTTTAGTAGAGACGGGGTTTCACCATGTTGGCCAGGCTGGTCTTGAACTCCTGACCTCAGGTGATCCACCCACCTCGGCCTCCCAAAATGCTAGTATTACAGGTGTGAGCCACCGCGCCTGGCCTGAGCCACCATGCCCAGCCTTGTTCTGTTTTTTGAGACAGGGTCTGGCTCTGTCACCCAGGCTGGAGTGCAACAGTGCAATCTCAGCTCACTGTAACCTCTGCCTCCTGTGCTCAAACCATCCTCTCACCTCAGCCTCCTGAGTAGCTGGGACTATAGGCACATAATACCACACCCAGCTAATTTTTGTATTTTTGGTAGAGACAGGGTTTTGCCATGTTGCCCAGGCTAGTCTCGAATTCCTGGGCTCAAACAATCTGCTTCCTGTGATTCCCAAATTTCTGAGATTATAGGCGTGAGCCACTGTGCCCAGTCAGTACGTTGTTCTTTTTTTTTTCTAAAGATAGAGTCTTGCTATGTTACCCAGGCTGTTCTTGAACTCCTGGGCTCAAGCAATCCTTCCACCTTGGCCTTCCAAAGTGCTGGGACTACAGATGTGAGCCACCAAGCCTGGCTAAGTCACCACGCCCAGCGCTAGCCAATATACTTGTTTTTTGTTTTTTTTTTGTTTTTTTTTTTTAGATGGAGTCTCGCTCTGTCACCCAGGCCGGAGGGCAGTGGCCAGATCTCAGCTCACTGCAAGCTCCACCTCCCGGGTTCAAGCGATTCTTCTGCCTCAGCCTCCCGAGTAGCCGGGACTACAGGCGCACGCCACCGCGCCCGGCTAGTTTTTTGTATTTTTTAGTAGAGACGGGGTGTCACCATGTTAGCCAGGATGGTCTTGATCTCCTGACCTCGTGATCCTCCCGTCTCGGCCTTCCAAAGTGCAGGGATTACAGGCTTGAGCCACCGCGCCCGGCCCAATATACTTGTTTTAATGTACAAATTGGACTCTAGCATTCCTCACACTGAAGTATTTATGGGTAAAATTACACATCTGGGATTTGCTTTAAAAGACTCCAGCAAAACAGAACAAGTGTAGATGAAGATTGGCAAAATGGTATGCTTGAAGTTCATGATGGGTACGTAGGGGCTCATCATACTGTTATCACTAATTTCGTGTGTTTGCTATTTTCCCTAATGTTTTACAATGTAATTGTCAGGTTATCCATTGTTTTGGAAAAATGTATTGGGCAGCTTCACTTTATTTGGGAAACACTGCCCACGGCAAGTCATTTAGACTTGGTAACACACGTGAGGGAGAAACGGATCTGAATTCCAGTTCTGAAACTGAGGTGACAGTTTCATTAAAGGACAGCGATCATCCCTGCAGAGTCAAAACAGAGAATAATGGGACCAGGCACCACTATGACAGGTCAAAAACCCCATCTGGGCAGAGCGTGGTGGCTCACACGTGTAACTCCAGCACTTTAGGAGGCCGAGGTGGGTGGATCATTTGAGGCCAGGAGTTTGAGACCAGCTTGGCCATCACGGTGAAACCCTGTCTCTACCGAAAATACAAAGATTAGCCAGGTGTGGTGGCACATGCCTGTAATCCCAGCTCCTTGGGAGGCTGAGGCAGAAGAATTGCTTCAACCCAGGAGGCAGAGGTTGTAGTGAGCCGAGATCACGCCACTGCATTCCAGCCTGGGTGACACAGCAAAACTGTCTCAGAGGCGCGCACACACGCACACACGTTAATTATGGCCCGTATCACCTTCTCCCTCGGATTCCACTCTTCTAGTTCCAAGGAATTGCTAACAATGGGCAAGTTCAGCCTAGTCCTTCTGTGAGGACGGAAGACGTCGGACTCATCTCCATGAGACTACCACAAACTGTAGTTGAAAGCTTTATTTGTCTTCACTTAGGGTAAATGAAAAATTTCAAGATTTGGCTACAACTTCATTATTCGAAAAGTAATATTTTACAGAAAGAGAGGTTGGGGTACTGGTTCTGAAGACAAAGCTTAGATTCAAGCCCAGCTTCACTATTTATACCAGTCCCCTGATTTTGCCGTTTCCTTATGATATAAGGCACTCAGGAGCACAAACCAAGCACACAGTAGGTGTTCAGTAAGTGCTGGTGTGATGAAGTTCAAACAGCACCACTGGTAAACTAAGTTCGGATTTCAGAGGTGGAGACTGTGTATGCAGCCTCACAGCTGAGTGGATGCCGTGGTGAAATGTTTAGATCACAGGCCTTTGAGAAGAATTATGAGGATGTTAGAGGAATGGACCTCCTGTGGCACCCAGACATAAACGTTAAAGGAGGCTATTTCATCATACAACAACTTCCAGACTTCTAGAAAAGTGAAAAGAGAGGTTTGGTAAGGAAGATGAAAGCCTTCCCACCACCCTGCATGCTGACCTAGGGCATCCTTCCTTCTACTCTGTTGTTAGATCCTCACGATCGCCAAAAAAAAAAAAAGCATTCTTTAACCTAAACCATCCCCATGGCTCAATCTCTACCCCTTCATCACCAAGGAAAAGCCACTTCTCTTATTTGAAAGATCTGCTGTTCACATAGGCAAACACTACCACAAAGGCTCTCCATCATCCGAATGAAGACACCAATCAAGGACTTTTACCGCAGCTTTGTTTGCTGCATTCAAATTACACAATGTAAGGGGTAAAGGGTACAATACATAAAACCCCCAGCATCAAACAAGCCAAACAAAACACCAGCATCACACATTTCCTCTAAATTCACAGTACAAAAGCAAATTATGGAAATGATGCAAGAGGGAATAAACAATGGCATATTTTCTTTTTTTTTTTTTTTTTTTTTTTTTTTTTTGGCATATTTTCTTTTTTTTTTTTTTTTTTTTTTTTTTTTGAGACGGAGTCTTGCTCTGTTCCCCGGGCTGGAGTGCAGTGGCCGGATCTCAGCTCACTGCAAGCTCCGCCTCCCGGGTTTACGCCATTCTCTGCCTCAGCCTCCCGAGTAGCTGGGACTACAGGCGCCCGCCACCTCCCGGCTAGTTTTTTGTATTTTTAGTAGAGACGGGGTTTCACCGTGTTAGCCAGGATGGTCTCGATCTCCTGACCTCGTGATCTGCCCGTCTCGGCCTCCCAAAGTGCTGGGATTACAGGCTTGAGCCACCGCGCCCGGCAACAATGGCATATTTTCTTCACATCAGTCATTAATATTTATTCCCCTGTGAAATTCATTGTTCTAACTTCCATTATTCAACGTGGAAGTTCTGTCCTTGAGGACACCTAAAATTATGCTATTATATGGCAGCATCAACGGTATCCTTGGCGTTGGGAGAAAAAGCCAAGCTTGCTCTCTATACAAAGCTTGTTCTTTGTACAAAGTTGTTGCTCCATAAATAGTGCAACAATAGGATCAGGCTGGGTGCAGGGGCTCACGCCTGTAATCCCAGCACTTTGGGAGGCCAAGGTGGGCAGATCACCTGAGGTCAGGAGTTCAAGATTAGCCTGTCTAACATGGCAAAGCCTCATCTCTACTAAAAATACAAAATTAGCCGGACATGGTAGTGGGCGCCTGTAATCCCGGCTACTTGGGAGGCTGAGGCAGGAGAATTGCTTGAACCCGGGAGGTGGAGGTTGCAGTGAGCCAAGATGGTGCCACTGCACTCCAGCCTCACAGAGTGAGATTCCATCTCAGAAACAAAAAACAATAGGATCATTGCACCCTTACCAGGGCTCCTGCAAGGGTCCCCACAAGCCTTGTCCAGTGAGGTCCTGAGGTCAGTACAGTCATAGCTGAGCAGGGCACAGGCACTTCTAAGTAGGAAGGCACGACAGTACGAGAGAAGTTTCCAGCATTGGAACCTTTCTGCAGTTTACATGACACTTCAGATGAACGAGGCATAGTTTCCCAGAAGTCCAAATTCAGTTCTGATAGCTTCATCTTGCTCTATCATGACTTTTCAGGGCTCCTTCAACTCTTAAACTCCAAGAAGCTAAGGAGAAAATGACCCTCATCTGCAGGATTTGAGGCTCCAGCCTTTCACTGACTTGGCAGATGGATCCTGAAATCTGCTCGCTGTCAGGCCTTTTTTTTTTTTTTTTTTTTTTTGAGATGGAGTCTCGCTCTGTCACCCAGGCTGGAGTGCAATGGCACGATCTTCGCTCACTGCAACATTCTGCCTCCCAGGTTCAAGCAATTCTCCTGCCTCAGCCTCCCAAGTAGCTGGGATTATAGGGGCCCACTATGATGCTCAGCTAATTTTTTGTATTCTAAGTAGAGATGCGGTTTCACCATATTGGCCAGGCTGATCTTGAACTCTTGACCTCACGTGATCCACCTGCTTGGGCCTCCCCAAGTGCTGGGATTACAGGTGTGAGCCACCATACTCGGCTTTTTTTTTTTTTTTTTTTTTGAGATGGAGTTTTGCTCTTTTGCCCAGGCTAAAGTGCAGTGGCATGACCTTGGCTCACTGGAACCTTTGCCTCCCGGGTTCAAGTGATTCTCCTGCCTCAGCCTCCCTAGCTGGGATTACAGTCATGCGGCACCATGCCCAGCTAATTTTTTGTATTTTTAGTAGAGACTCCATCTCAAAAACATACAAACAAACAAAAACATATTTTAACTTACCATTGATTTTTACTACTTTTTTTTTTTTGAGACGGAGTCTTGCTGTCACCAGGCTGGAGTACAGTGGTGCGATCTCAGCTCACTGCAAACTCCACCAACTGGGTTCAAGCGATTCTCCTGCCTCAGCCTCCCAAGTAGCTGGGACTACAGGCACACACCACCACACACAGCTAATTTTTGTATTTTTAGTAGAGATGGGGTTTCACCATATTGTGGCCAGGATGGTCTCTCTCTCTTGACCCTGTGATCCACCCGCCTCAGCCTCCCAAACTGCTGGGATTACAGGCGTGAGCCACTGCGCCCAGATGATTTTTACTAAACTTTTAAGCTTTAGTTTAGGCAACAGACCACAACTTCTTTCCCCAGTTAGTAACACCCAGATTGTTTCAGATCCCCGAATGGGAAGTCCAAAACATCACGCTGTAGAATTCCTATGTCTTCGCTTCTGCAGTGTTTCTCTGCAAAGGGGCCAGGATGACCCCAGCGTTCCTGTCTTCACTCTCAGAGCTGTACAAATTATGCTTTTCAATGTATTCTTGGACAAGATCTGGTACCAAGTAGCGAATGCTCTGGCCCCTTCTGAGGGCTCTCCGGATTTTTGTGGATGAGATGTCATTAGTGATCCATTCATTCACCACGTGAATGTTGCTCCGGTGTTTCCACAGCACATCCGATTCATAGATAAATTTCTGAGCATCATTTCCAGCCCGAGTAACACATATGAGCCCATAGTTGGCCACGATTTGGGTGATGTCTTCACTCTTCCACAAATTGGGAACAGCAAAGGACTCCAATAAATCTGCCCCACACAGCAGCTTGACCTTTGGCACCGCTGGGAAGAATAAAACAGAGCTTTGGGGTATGATTTTTCTTCCCCTCTACCTCCTCCAAGTGCAAAGGGGTTTACTTTTCTAATAACCCACTGTATCAAAATGAAGGTATGTACGTGCTTTTCAAGAATGAGGGTTCAGGCCGAGTGTGGTGGCTCACGCCTGTAATCCCAGCACTCTGGGAGGCCGAGGCGGGTGGATCACTTGAGGTCAGGAGTTTGACACCAGCCTGACCAACATGGTGAAATACCGTCTCTACTAAAAATATAAAATTAGCCAGGGGTGGTGGCGCATGCTTGTAACCCCAGATACTCGGGAGGCTGAGGCAGGAGAATCGCTTGAACTCGGGAGGTAGAGGTTGCAGGGAGCCAATCATGCCATCGCGCTACAGCCTGGGCAACAAGAGCAAAACTCCGTCTCAAAAAAAAAAAAAGAATGACAGTTCACAGTTTTTATGAGAATCAGATTCCCAAAAGAGACCTAGCACACCTCAAAGATTGGAGACCACTGCAGGAGAAATAAGCTCCCAGTGCATTTTACTCTCCTTCGCTTCATGAAACTAATAAGGGGCATTTTCCAGACACCCACAAGTGTGTGATATAAAACGAAAATAAAGGCCAGGCATAGTGGCTGACACCTGTAATCCTAGCACTTTGGGAGGCCAAGGCAGGAGGACTGCTTGGGGCCAGGAGTTCAAGACCAACCTGGCCAACATAGCGAGACTCCATCTCTAAAAAACAAAAAAATGGCCGGGCGCAGTGGCTGACGCCTGTAATCCCAGCACTTTGGGAGGCCGAGGCGGGCGGATCACAAGGTCAGGAGATCGAGACCACGGTAAAACCCCGTCTCTATTAAAAATACAAAAAATTAGCCGGGCGCGGCGGGCGCCTGTAGTCCCAGCTACTCGGGAGGCTAAGGCAGGAGAATGGCGTGAACCCGGGAGGCGGAGCTTGCAGTAAGCCGAGATTGCGCCACTGCACTCCAGCCTGGGGCACAGAGCAAGACTCTGTCTCAAAAAAAAAAAAAAAAAAAAAAAAAAAAAAAAAAAAAAAAAAACACAGGGGTTTGCTCAGCTATAGAATCTTATCACCTCTAGTCCGTGGGTCCTGCTAAAACATACAAACCTTTTGTTTTTGGCTCTAGGGATTTCTTTTGACTAGAATCTTGTTTTTCAGTCCACTTCCTCTTCCTTCCAAGCCTTTCTAGCGCAGGTGAGTTCTGCGGCTGATCATAGTTACTAGCCTCCAATTTCTCTTGATGGTGTCTATAAAACAACAAAACAATAGAATATTTCTCCTTCTCACATGCTCCATTAGAATATAACATGAACATTATTTATAGCGGGCGTGGCAGCTCACGCCTGTAATCCCAGAACTTTGGGAGGCTGAGGCGGGTGGATCACGAGGTCAGGAGATCAAGATCATCCTGGCTAACACGGTGAAACCCCGTCTCTACTAAACATACAAAAAACTAGCTGGGCGCGGTGGCGGGCGCCTGTAATCCCAGCTACTTGGGAGGCTGAGGCAGGAGAATCCCTTGAACCTGGGAGGCAGAGGTTGTAGTGAGCCAAGATTGCACCATTGCACTCCAGCCTGGGCGACAGAGTGAGACTCCGTCTCAAAAAAAGAAAAAAAAAAAAAGAATATCATTAACATTACTTATTTATTTATTATTTTGAGATGGTGCCTTGCTCTGTTGCCCAGGCTGGAGTGCAGTGTACAATCTTGGCTCACTGTAACCTCTGGCTCCTGGGTTCAAACAATTCTCTTGCCTCAGCCTCTTGAGCAGCTGGCATTACAGGTGCGCACCACCACGCGCGGCTAAGTTTTTTGGTATTTTTAGTAGCGATGGGGTTTCACCATGCTGGCCAGGCGGGTCTTGAACTTCTGACCTCAAGCGACCTGCCCACCTCAGCCTCCCAAAGTGCCAGGATTAAAGGCCCCTGGCCAACAATATTTATGATATGCCACACATTGCACTGAATCCTTTACATGGATTATCTGATTAAGTCTTCTCAACATAAGATGACTGTTGTGGAAGACTAAAAAAATTAAAAATCTTCTCTGCTGGGTGTGGTGGCTCACGCCTGTAATCCCAGCACTTTGGGAGGCCAAAGTGGGTGGATCACCTGAGGTCAGGAGTTTGAGACACAGCCTGACCAACATGGAGAAACCTGGTCTCTGCTAAAAATACAAAATTAGCTGGGTGTTGTGGTGCATGCCTGTAATCCCAGCTACTCGGGAGGCTGAGGCAGGAGAATCGCTTGAACCCAGGAGGTAGAGGTTGCAGTGAGCCATGATCGCGCCATTGCACTCCAGCCTGGGCAGAAGAGCAAAATTCCGTCTCAAAAGAAAAAAAAAAATCTTCTCAACATCCTGTGTCATAAATATTATTATCTCCATAAGGGAGGGGAAAAAGGAGGCTTACAATTGCAACTCCAGCTCCTAGCACAGTCTATGAAACACAGGAGGCATTCAATAACAATTTGATTGAGTGAATGTTTTGGGGTTTTTTTGGTTTGTTTTTTAGAGACACAGGCTCACTCTGTTGACCAGGATGGAGCGCAGTGGCACAATCGTAGCTCGCCGCAACCAAGAACTCCTGGGCTCAAGTGATCCTACTGCCTCAAACTCTCAAATAGCTGGGACTACAGGCACGTGCCACCATGTTCAGCTAACTTTTGTTTTTTTGAGAGATGAGGCCTCACTATGTTGCCTACACTGGTCTTGAACTCCTGGCCTCAAGCAATCCTCCTGCCTCAGACTCCCAAAGTGCTGGGATTACAGATGTGAGCCACCATGACCAGCCTGAACGTTTTGGTTATTACAAAGCGACTATATTATTGCCACCTTGCAGCTAGTTTCACTGAAAATACTTCTGATTTTAATGTGCTGCTCATCTGTTGTATCAGAATTGTTTATTATCCCATTGAGAGAGGACACTGACTAATTTGCCTAAGGTCATTTAACTTACAAGTATTAACAGCAGAGCTAGGACTTGAACCCCAGCAGTCTGGTCCAGAGCCCACACTCTTGATCACTGAAGAGTGTGGCTTAATCTTGTAACAAAGAACCAGAACATCAAGGAGAAGGTCCTAGAGTGGCAAGGGCCTGAGGCCTTAAAGGAAGGCGCCCTAAGCAGGATTTGTGTATAGCTCTATTCTGGGCTGGCAGCAGGGTGCCCACTGTTTCCAAACTGTGCAATGTTACCCAAATAACATCAACTACACTTGTGGGATCCAACTGTGGGCCTTTATTCCCCTACATCCCAACCCTGATGACTATTTAATGGGCGATAAGGTTACTATAAAGCCAGAGGGTTGGGTAGGGCTGTGGCCCAGGAACTTGGTCCCTCATGGGATAAATTTTTGCCATCAAGCAGTGGAGACTCTTCTCCCTGCCAAGTCTGAAAAGGAAGTCCTCTTGAGAGATCACTGTGTGAGATATCTCCTACTGGCTCAGTGCCCAATCCTGCCCAACACACTTCCCAGAGGTCCTTGCAGCAGGTTCTGGACTTGACTGCGATTCTGCTAATGAGATTCTCTCCTGAGAGATTTGGAAGGCAGAAGGAGGACAGAGGCCATTGTCCTGGGACTGTGGAGCTTGATAAGTAATCCCTTTTTTTTTTTTGAGACTGAGTCTCGCTCTGTTGCCCAGGCTGGAGTGCAGTGGCGCAATCTCAGCTCACTGCAACCTCCACCTCCCGGGTTCAAGCGATTCTCCTGCCTCAGCCTCCCAAGTAGCTTGGACTACAGGCATGTGCCACCACGCCCAGCTAATTTTTGTATTTTTAGTAGAGACGAGGTTTTGCCATGTTGGCCAGGGTGGTCTCGAACTCCTGACCTCAGGTGATCCACCCACCTTGGCCTCCCAAAGTGCTAGGATTACAGGCATGAGCTAGGATGCCCAGCCTGATCCTATTGTTGCACTATTTATAGCCAGTAATCCTTTCTAGTATGGGTGTGGTGGCTAGATGCTGGAGTCCACTGTCCTGTCACCAACTTCAGGAGACTGAGACAGTTCAATAGCAGCAGAAGCAGAATTGGTTTGTTGAACTCTGATGGCAACATCAGAGGAGTGACCTTGACTTCCACTTCTCCAGCTCTTTTACTTTTTTTCTTTTGAGACAGTCTCACTTTGTTGCCCAGGCTGGAGTGCAGTGGCACAATTTCAGTTCACTGCAACCTCCGCCTCCCAGGTTCAGACAATTCTCCTGCCTCAGCCAACCTAGTAGCTGGGATTATAGGCATGGGCCCAGCTAATTTTGTATTTTTAGTAGAGACAGGATTTCACCATGTTGGCCAGGCTGGTCTTGAACTCCTGGACTCCGGTGATCTGCCCGCCTCAGCCTCCCAAGGTGCTGGGATTATAGTCATGAGCTACCACGCCTGGCCTCAGCTCTTTAAAGTACTCTTTGCCCAAGTACTTAAATCTTTTTCCACTTAAAATACCCAGAGTGGTTTCTATTTCCTAGTCTGAACCCTAAATGATATGGTTAGTAACTGGAAGGTTCGGAACTCTAAGAACAGATACTAAACAGAAAGTCTTTTCAGAAAGCCCTTTCATTTCAAACTCAAGATAACAATAGGCCAGGCATGGTAGCTCACATTTGTAATCCCAGCACTTTGGGAGGCCTAGGTGGGAGGATTGCTTGAGGCCAGGAGTTTGAGATCAGCCTAGGCAACATAGCGAGGCCCCATCTCCAGCAAAAGAAAGAAAAAAAGTTTAAAAAAATCAAAATAACATTAAGAAATAACTAGGTGTCAGCCAGGCACGGTGGCTCACCTCTGTAATCCCCGCGCTTTGGGAGGCTGAGATGGGCAGATCACCTGAGGTCAGGAGTTCAAGGCCAGTCTGGCCAACAGGGTGAAACCCCAGCTCTACTAAAAATACCAAAATAGGCTGGGCGTGGTGGCAGGCACCTGTAATCCCAGCTACTTGGGAGGCTGAGGCAGGGGAATGGCTTGAACCCGGGAGGCGAAGGTTGCAGTGAGCCGAGATCATGCTGTTGCACTCCAGCTTGGGCAACAAGAGTAAAATTCTACCTCAAAAAAAAAAAAAAAGAAAGAAAAAAAGAAAAAGAAATAATTAGGTGTTGGGAGGCTGAGGCAGCTAGATCACCTGAGGTCAGGAGTTCAAGACCAGCCTGGCCAACAAGGTAGAACCCCATTCCTACTAAAAATACAAAAATTAGCAGGGCTTGGTGGCAGGCACCTGTAGTCCCAGCTAATTGGGAGGCTGAGGCAGGAGAATTGCTTGAACCTGGGAGGCAGAGGTTGCAGTGAGCCGAGAATGTGCCACTACACTCCAGCCTGGGTGACAGAGCAAGACTCCGTCTCAAAAAAAAAAAAAGAAATAATTAGATGTCACTTACTCTGGTTTTTTAACCCTTAACTAGAATCGCTTCAAAGGTATGGGCACAGAGATCTATGACTCCCTCCAGATGCTGTCATGGAAGCAGCACATAAATCTGGCCTGTCCATGATCATGCAGCACTTGATGCTTCTCTTCCTCAAATTAACTGCCTGTCTCTTTTTTTTTTTTTGAGACGGAGTCTTGCTCTGTCACCCAGGCTGGAGTGCAGTGGCGTGATCTCCACTCACTGCAAGCTCCGCCTCCCAGGTTCATGCCATTCTCCTGCCTCAGCCTCCTGAGTAGCTGGGACTACAGGCGCCTGCCACCACGCCCGGCTAATTTTTTCTGTTTTTAGTAGAGACGGGGTTTCACCGTGTTAACCAGGATAGTCTCAATCTCCTGACCTCGTGATCCACCCGCCTCGGCCTCCCAAAGTGCTGGGATTACAGGCGTGAACCACCATGCCAGCCGCCTGTCTCTTACACTTAGACTGATGATAATAACATCTTCTGGCAATTTTGCCTTTCTCATTTGGGGCACAGCCAGGCAGGCTTCCTCTATTTTCTAACAGTGATATCACATAGTAGCAAGCATGCAAACATCTTTTCTTTTTTGAGATGGAGTCTTGCTCTGTCACCCAGGCTGGAGTGCATAGGCACAATCTCGGCTCACTGCAACCTCCAACCCTGGGGTTCAAGCGAATCTCCTGCCTCAGCCTCCCAAGTAGCTGGGATTACAGGCGTGCGCCACCATGCCCGGCTAATTTTTGTATTTTTAGTAGAGACGGGTTTTCACCATGTTGTCCAGGCTGGTCTCAAACTCCTGACCTCAGGTGATCCACCTGCCTCAGCCTCCCAAAGTGCTGGGATTACGGGCATGAGCCACCGCGCCTGGCCGCAAACAACTTAAAACATAATGAAAGACACAGAAGGGCTAAGGAAGATCCATCCTTTGGTGCTGTGCTCTACAGTCTTGTAGTAACCTTCCACAGGAATGGCTTACAACACACATGACAGTTTTGCAAATCTGTATGGTCACAGATGTAAGCAACATTGAAACATGGTAAAAACATAAGCCGCTTGGCCATTTACACAGAACTGACAAAGTTGATTACACCATAAATACCTTAGCACCTTAAGAGTCTCTTTCCACTCCTTCTGAAGACTTTCCCATGTATCAACTTCCACCCATTTGGAATTCTTGGTGGCAAGTTCTGCCATGATGACCCGGTGATACGCAGGAATGAGTCCTTTCTTCTTGTAGGCATCACCAACAGGAGAGATGATGCCTTTGACAACTGTGTATCTTCCTGGATAAAGAGTTAGGTTTCACACTAGGTATAACAAATTCAATTTTATGCACGATCAATATTATTTGTTTTGTTTTGTTTGTTGAGACAGAGTCTTGCTCTGTTCCCCAGGCTGCACTGGCGTGACCTTGGCTCACTGCAACCTCCGCCTCCTAGGTTGAAGCGATTCTGACTCAGCCTCCCGAGCAGCTGGGATTATAGGCGCATACCACCATGCTGGCTAATTTTTGTATTTTTAGTAGAGATGGGGTTTTTATCATGTTAGCCAAGAGGTCTCCAACTCCTGACCTCAAGTGATCTGCCTGCCTCAGCCTCCCAAAGTGCTGGGACTACAGGCATGGGTCACCATGCCTGGCCAATATTGTTTTATAATCACAGATTCTCTTTCTTTTTTTTTTTTTTTTTTTTTTTTTGAGACGGAGTCTCGCTCTGTCGCCCAGGCTAGAGTGCAGTGGCCGGATCTCAGCTCACTGCAAGCTCCGCCTCCTGGGTTCCCGTCATTCTCCTGCCTCAGCCTCCCGAGTAGCTGGGACTACAGGCGCCCGCCACCTCGCCCGGCTAGTTTTTTGTATTTTTTAGTAGAGACGGGGTTTCACCGTGTTAGCCAGGATGGTCTCAATCTCCTGACCTCGTGATCCGCCCGCCTCGGCCTCCCAAAGTGCTAGGATTACAGGCTTGAGCCACCGCGCCCGGCCCAGATTCTCTTTCTTTAGGGATTCCAGCTTATTAGCTGATTGATCAATTAACTGACTGAAATCATGGTAAAATATACCCAAGTGTACAGTTCTACGATATTAAGTACAAACACGCTGTTGTGCAACCATCGCTCCTATCCATCTCCAGAATTTTCTCATCTTCCCCAGCTGGAACTCTGTACCTCACCTCATTCCCCTATACGTTAAATTTCTTTTGATATTGCAAAGTTGCTTTGTAAAAAGCCTTAATTTGTTTTTTTTTTGTTTTTTTTTTTTGTTTTTTTGTTTTTTTTGAGACAGAGTCTCGCTGTGTGGCCCAGGCTGGAGTGCAGTGGCCCGATCTCGGCTCACTACAAGCTCCACCTCCCGGGTTCACGCCATTCTCCCGCCTCAGCTTCCCGAGTAGCTGGGACTACAGGCACCCGCCACCACGCCCGGCTAGTTTTTTGTATTTTTAGTAGAGACGGGGTTTCACCGTGTTAGCCAGGATGGTCTCGATCTCCTGACCTCGTGATCCACCTGTCTCGGCCTCCCAAAGTGCTGGGATTACAGGCTTGAGCCACCGTGCCCAGCCCAAAAGCCTTAATTTGTATTGTCCACCTAGATGTATGCAAAAGCCTATTTCTCAATGTCATAGGCAAATAGTGAGCTTTAGCAGCCATCCATCCATCTACCTATCAGCATATTATATGATCATTTATGTAACAAAAAAATTGAGGCCAGGTGTGGTGGCTCACATCTGTAATCCCAGTGCTTTGGGAGACCGAGGCAGGAGAATCACTTGAGCCCAGGAGCTCAATACCAACACGGGCAAAATAGTGGGACCCAGTTTCTACAAAAAATTTAAAAATTAGCCAGATGTAGTGGCATGCCTGTAGTCATAGCTACTTAGGAGCCTGAGGCAGGCGGCTCACTTGAGCCCAGGAGGTAAAGGCTGTAGTGAGCTGAGATCTTGCCACTGTACTCCAGCCTGCCCAGCCAGGGTGACAGAGTGAGAACCATTTCCAAAAAAAAAAAAAAAAAAAAAAAAATTCTGTGTTATACACACAAATGTTTGCATATAAATTCATACAAAGAAGAGTGGAAGGATATACATTAAACTGTTATGGTTATGTTATGTTACAGTGGCTCATGCCTGTAATTCCAGCACTTTGGGAGGCCGAAGTGGGAGGATCATTTGAGAACAGGAGTTCAAGAGCAGCCTGGTCAACATGGTGAAACCCCATTTCTACTAAAAATACAAAAATAGGCTGGGCATGGTTGTGTATGCCTGTAATCCCAGTTACTGGGGAGGCTGAGGCAAGAGAATCACTTGAATCCAGGAAGTGGAGGTTGCAATTAGCCAAGACCGGGCCACTGTACTCCAGCCTGGGCGACAAAGCGAGGCTCTATAGAGTCGAGGTATTGCCACATTGGTCAGGCTGATCTCAAACTCCTAACCTCAGGTAATCTGCCCCCTCTGCCTCTCGAAGTGCTGGGATTACAGGTGTGAGCCACCATGCCCAGCCTATTCATGCATTGTTTTTTTTTTTTTTTTGAGATGGAGTCTCCTCTGTCACCCAGGCTGGAGTGCAGTGGTGCCATCTTGGCTCACTGCAAGTTCCACCTCCCGGGTTCACGCCATTCTCCTGCCTCAGCCTCCCGAGTAGCTGGGACTACAGGCGCCCGCCACCACATCCGGCTAATTTTTTTGTATTTTTAGTAGAGATGGGGTTTCACGGTGTTAGCCAGGATGGTCTCAATCTCCTGACCTTGTGATCTGTCTGCCTCAACCTCCCAAAGTGCTGGGATTACAGGCGTGAGCCACCACACCCAGCCTCATTGTTTATGAAAACTTTTAGCTGGGTGTGGTGGCTCATGCCTGTGATCTCAGCACTTTGGGAGGCCTGAGGTTAGGAGTTTGAGACCAGCCTGACGAACATGGAGAAACCCCATCGCTACTAAAAATACAAAAAATTAGCTGGGCGTGGTGGCACATGCCTGCAATCCCAGTTACTCAGGAGGGTGAGGCAGGAAAATTGCTTGAACCCAGGAGTTGGAGGTTGCAGTGAGCCGAGATTGTGCCACTGCACTCCAGACTGGGCAACAAGAGTGAAACTTCATCACAAAAAAAAGAAAAAGAAAGAAAAAGAAAACTTAAAAAGCCGTGTCTGATCCTGGAGGTTTTATGTATGCTAAAGTACAAGCTTTCGCTTTTTGCCTTAAGTAATGGGAAACTCCTGAAGTAGATTAAGCACAGGGATGACAGAATCTAATTCCTTTTTTCTGGGAGGGGTGGTCAGGGTCTTGCTCTGATGTCCAGGCTGGTGGGCAAAGGTGCAATCGTGGCTCACGGTAGCCTAGACCTCCCGGGCTCAAGCAGTCCTCCTACTTCAGTCTCCTGAGTAGCTGGGACCACAGGCACATGCCACCATACCTGGCTAATTTTTATAATTTTTTTGTAAAGATGAGGTCTCTCTCTGTTTCCCAGGTTGGTCTCAAACTCCTGGCCTCAAGTGATCCTCCCATCTCAGCCTCCTGAAGCACTGCGATTACAGGTATGAGCCACTGTACCTGGCGTATTTTCTATTCTGCAGGTCATAGCCAGATGCTCAATTCTTCCCTCATACTTCACCCTCTTTCTTGGCTAAGAATTCACTGTACAAGGGAGCAGGACAGCATGTTTGTGCCCAGTGGATGAAATGTGTATTCTGAAACAGACCTAGCCATGCTGGTTCTCTAGTCTTTCTTTTTTTTGGAGACGACGTCTCACTCTGTCTCCAGGCTGGAGAGCAGTGGCGCGATCTCGGCTCACTGCAACCTCCACCTCCCAGGTTCAAGCAATTCTACTGCCTCAGCCTCCTGAGTAGCTGGGACTACAAGCACAGCTAATTATTGTATTTTTTAGTAGACACGGGGTTTTACCATGTTGGCTAGGATGGTCTCAATCTCTTGACCTCGTGATCCGCTCGTCTCAGCCTCCCAAAATGCTGGGATTACAGGTGTGAGCCACCATGCCTGGCTGTTTCTCTAGTCTTAAGTTGCTTTTGGCTACTGCTCCTACCTGTTCCATTCATGTAGTCCTTGGCCAGCTCAAACAACCTGAGGTGCATGTTGGTGATGGGATTGAAGGAACCACAAGCAAGGAGAACCACTTCAGTCTTCTCGGAATTTTCCATGGTAAGAACTTGAAGTTGTTGATCTAAATGGAAAACTGTGACACCTCCCTTGTTGTCTACAAAGGAAAAAGAAAATAAATTCGGTTACACATTTTTTTTTTCTAAGATGAGGTCTTGCTCTGCCACTCTGGCTAGAACATAGTGGTGCAACCACAGCTGACGGCACCCTCAGACTCCTGGGCTCAAGTGATGCTCCCACCTCAGCCTCTAAAGTAGCTGGGAACAAGGCATATACCAAAGAGATTGGCTAATTATTTTAAAAACTAATTTTTGTAGAGATGGGGGTCTTGCTATGTTGCCCAGGCTGGTATCAAACTACTAGTCTCAAGCAATCCTTCCACCTCAGCCTCTCAAAGTGCTGGGATTACAAGCATGAGTCACCATGCCCAGCCCAGGTATAGGTCTTTTGATGTCCTTCCATGTTCTCATTCACAATAGATGGATTAAAAGTATTTGGCTTAGGCCAGGCTTGGTGGCTCATGCCTGTAATCCCAGCACTTTGAGAGGCTGAGGTGGGCGGATCATGAGGTCAGGAGATCGAGACCATCCTGGCTAACACAGTGAAATCCCGTCTACTGAAAATACAAATAAATTAGCCAGGCGTCGTGGCAGTCGCCTGTAATCCCAGCTACTTGGGAGGCTGAAGCAGAATGGCATGAACCAGGGAGGCAGAGCTTGCAGTGAGCTGAGATGGCACCCCACTGCACTCCAGCCTGGGTGACAGAGCGAGACTCCGTCTCAAAAAAAAAAAAAAAAAAAAAGGATTTGGCTTCGGCTGGGCGCAGTGGCTCACACCTGTAATTCCAGCACTTTAGGAGACTGGGGCAGGTGGATCATGAGGTCAAGAGATCGAGACCATCCTGGCCAACATAGTGAAACCCCATCTTTACTAAAAATACAAAAATTAGCTGGGTGTAGTGGCACACGCCTGTAATCCCAGCTACTTGGGAGGCTGAGGCAGGAGAACCACTTGAACCCAGGAGGCGCAGGTTGCAGTGGCCAAGATCACGCCATTGCACCCCAGCCTGGTGACAAGAGCGAGACTTCATCTCAAAAAGAAAAAGAAAAAAAAAATTTGGCTTCAATCATTATGCTAACTGTAAAAATGCTTCCACATCTCCATCCCTCCTTTTCAATGTGAAATTTGCAGCTCCACCATGAAGAGATGGAAGTGACTTCTCTACATTTTTTGACTTGCTTTGGCCAAAAGACTGTGGCACAAGTGATAGTGTGGAGGATGCCAGAACACGTCGGAGCGCAGCAATGCTCCCACTGATAGACATCCAATCCCCGCCCCCATGTGGGGAACACGGCCATCCCCGACCAGCCAACAACTACAGTCCCTCTGCTCAGACACATGAGCAGACCCAAGTGAGGTCAACCAAACCTGGCTCAGATCGTCAAGCCAACAAGCTGACCTAGTCTCAAAAACAAAAACTAGTGTTCATTATCATATGTTGCTCAAGTTTTGTGATCGCACTATTGTGGCCACAGTTAATTAACACAACAATATTATCATCTACCAAATATAGCATTTTTAATCAACATGATAGTAACATCATAATTTTCCACTGAATAGAATTTACAAACCTCTTTTTCATATCAATTATTCCACTGATCCTTCCATAACCCTAATGAAGTAACATAAGGCATCCAATTTTAAATTTTTATTAAAACTTCTTTTTTTTTTTTTTGAGACGGAGTCTCGCTCTGTTCCCCAGGCTGGAGTGCAGTGGAGTGATCTCAGCTCACTGTAAGCTCTGCCTCCCGGGTTCACACCATTCTCCAGCCTCAGCCTCCAAAGTAGCTGGTACTACAGGTGCCCGCCACCATGTCTGGCTAATTTTTTGTATTCTTAGTAGAGACAGGGTTTCACCATGTTAGCCAGGATGGTCTCGATCTCCTGACCTTGTGATCCGCCTGCCTCGGCTTCCGAAAGTGCTGGGATTACAGGCGTGAGCCACCGTGCCCGGCCTAAAATTTCTTATTCAACTAATTCATATATATAGATCTAGAACATCACAAGGTAAAAAAAGCCAATAATGAAAGCCAACAGCCATCAATCATATATCCCACTCACCATCCCTTCCATCCAGGTCCCTAAGGCAACCACTTTTAACTTTTTCAGCTATTTCTTCTGGTAGTTTCTACCATAACTCTATATTATGTGCTTATAATGCCATCTCTGAATTTATCCCACTTAAACAGTGCCCATTGACTTTCTTTTATGATCTATAAAGATTAGCTCTCATACCCTTTTACTACCTTCTCCCAAACTGCCCAATACAGTTTATCTCCAGACTATGTTGAAAATCATTTTCTCCCACAACTTCGAAGGCATTGCTTCTAGATTCCAACGTTAATGGCATGAAATCCAAAGCCACTTCTAATTCCGGAGGTTTTGAATGTCATTTTTTTTCGTGCCTCGAAGCCTGTAAGGTCTTCTCTTTGTTCGCAGTGTTCTGAAATTTCACAACGCTGTCCTCTAGTGCAGCTTTGTTTCCATCTGTGATGCTGAGCATGGGGCAGGGCCTTTCTGTCTTGAAACTCGTAACATTCAGTTCTAGCAAATGTCCTTGAATTCTTTTATTGATGATTTTCTGCCTTCCATTTTCTCTGTTCTTTGGAAATGTCTATTTTTATTATTATTATTATTTTTGAGACACAGTCTCCCTCTCTTACCCAGGCTGGAGTGCAGTGGCACGATCTTGGCTCACTGCAACCTCCACCTCCCAAGTTCAAGCAATTCTCCCGCCTCAGCCTCCCAAGTAGCTGGGACTATAGGCATGCACCACCACACCCAGATAATTTTTGAATTTTTAGTAGAGATGGGGTTTCACCACGTTCGCCAAGCTGGTCTCAAACTCCTGGCCTCAAGTGATCCACCTGCCTCAGCCTCCCATGAGCCACCGTGCCTGGCCTGAAAATGTCTATTATTTAGATCTGAAGCATCTAATCATTGTTTCTGTATTTTCGACCTCCTGCCTTCATGCTCTAATTTCCAGATAGCCTCAACTTCATTCTCCAATCTGCCTAGTTTTCATTTGTGCCGTTACACTCTTAATTTCCAAGAGCCCTATCCTCTGAATATTCCTGTTTACGGTATTCTACTCGTTTCCCCAACAGATTATCATCTCTATTTCTCTATCAATATTCATGATATATTTTAAAGTTTCTTCAAAAAGAGCTGATAGGACAGGTTGAGTGGGTAGGTAGGGTTTGTGGCCATCACTGTTCCGTAACCTGTCAGTACTGCAGGTCTTTCTACTTGAATTAGTCAGACTCCACAAGAATGTATCCTACAATTTCCTGCCTATATAACAGAATAGTTAAGAGCCTATGCTCTGAAGTTAGCTGCCTGGCTTCAAATTGCAGCTCCAACTGCATGACCTTGGGCAACCTAACTAACTTAACCTTCCTTTTGTCCCAGGTTTTTTTTCTTTTTTTTCTTTTTTTTGAAACAGAGTCTTGCTCTGTCACCCAGGCTGGAGTGCAGTGGTGCGATCTCAGCTCACTGCACCCTCTGCCTTCCGGGTTCAAGTAATCCTCCCTGCCTCAGCCTCCCAAGTAGCTGGGAAGCTGGGATTACAGGCGAGTGCCACTACACCTGGCTAATTTTTTTTTTTTTTTTTTTTTTTTGAGATTGGAGTCTTGCTCTGTCACCCAGGCTGGAGTGCAGTGAATGGTGCGATCTCGGCTCACTGCAAGCTCCGCCTCCTGGGTTCATGCCATTCCCCTGCCTCAGCCTCCCAAGTAGCTGGGACTATAGGTGCCCGCCACCACGCGCAGCTAATTTTTTGTATTTTTAGTAGAGACAGGGTTTCACTGTGTTAGCCAGGATGGTCTCAATCTCCTGACCTCGTGATCCACCCGCCTCAGCCTCTCAAAGTGCTGGGATTACAGGTGTGAGTCACTGTGCCTGGCCTAATTTTTGTACTTTTAGTGGAGTCAGGGTTTCACCTCATTGGCCAGGCTGGTCTCAAACTCCTGACCTTAAGTGATCCATCTGCCTTGGCCTCCCAGAGTGCTGGGATTACAGGCGTGAGCCATCATGCCCACCTTGTCCCAGTTTTTATCAATCTTAAAAAGGAGAAAATACTACTGCCCACCTCCTAATTGTTGTGCGGATTAAATGAAACAATACAGATCCAGGACATACAACTACATTTGGCAGGCCAGGCACAGTGGCTCACACCTGTAATCTCAGCACTTTGGGAGGCTGAGACAGGCGGATCACCCGGTCAGGAGACCGAGAACATCATGGCTAACATGGTGAAACCCCGTCTCTACTAAAAATACAAAAAAATTAGCTGGGCGTGGTGGCGGGCACCTGTAGTCCCAGCTACTCGGAAGGCTGAGGCAGGAGAATGGTGTGAATCCGGGAGGTGGAGCTTGCAGTGAGCCGAGATCGCACCACTGCACTCCATCCTGGGCAACAGAGCGAGACTCCATCTCAAAAAAAAAAAAAAAAAAAACACTACATTTGGCAAATAGCAAATATGCTATGAATATAGCTATTATGAATGTTGCATATTATGCTACTAGAATTGTCTTTTGTTTTTTGATTTTTGAGACAGTATCTCACTCTGTTGCCCAAGCTGGAGTACAGTGGTGCAATCTCAGGTGACTGCAACCTCCATCTCCCAGGATCAAGTGATCCTTCGACCTCAGCCTCCCAAGTAGCTGGGACTACAGGCATGCACTGGCTAGTTTTGTTTTTTTTTTGTATTTTTTGTAGAGATGGGGTTTCGTGTATTGCCCAGGCTGGTCTCAAACTCCTGGGCTCAGAATCTCGAAGCGAACCTGCCCACGGTGGCCTTCCAAAGTGCTGGGATCACAGGTATGAGCTACTGTGCTCAGCAAGCAATTTTTTTTTTTTTTTAATCAAGAAAACATCAATTTCAAATGGTTTAACCTACAATTGCTATTCTATTCAATCTGGTTTTTTCCCAGAGGATTTTCTTCCTGGAACTCTCCTCCTATCTAGATGAAAAATCTCTATTTGTGAAGCTATTATTCTGAAAACTTCTTCGTCTCTCTCCTGGGTTAGATCCCC